TTAGTAAATTATAATACAAATAATAATTTAAAATAAAGTATTAAAAATAAAATTATAATAAAATAATAAACTATTATAAAAATAAAAAATAAGTCAAAAGGTAGAAAGTAAGAAAAGTAAAAAGTAAAGTTAAGCGTAACCTTTTAGGCAAAAATGATGGAGTGACTTTAAGAACAGACTCTTGAACCTGATTTTAGGGTGTTCGGAATGAGACCTGATTTTAGGGTGTTCAGAAGGCAGTTCCAAGAAAGGATACACTGGTATGTAATGGAATTAATTACATGCTTACTTGTCTGTTTTAGTGGAAGAGTTTAAGTTTTTTAAGTTTTTTAAGTTGATTAAGGTGCCCCAAGAAGCCCTTACGGTCTTATCACAGAGCACCGCGGAAGAGCATTTAATAGGAAATTCACGCCTCCTTCCCAACCGATGTTGCAAAACTTGCCCAGAGGTGGGGTTTGAACCACGGATCTTACATTTCTGAGGCAAGTGCACTACCACTGCGCTAACGGCTGAGTTAAGTTGTTATAGGTGACTGATCTTAGGTTATGCCCACATGTTGTTCTGTTATTAAAGTAGTTGTGAAATATAGTAAGAAGAACACCATGTTGTTGATCCCAGACAAATGAACAATTTAAGAACTGAATTAAGTCATAGAAACGAAGAATTTTGGATGTAAGATATAGGATGTCAGTAGGAAAATTTCTCGGACAAAAATGAATAATCCGTACCGCTCTATTTTGAAGTGAAACTCTAGAGAGACATACGGTTTTCGATTGTCCCCAAACTTGACATGCGTATCGTAAATGTGAACCAAAAATTGAGTGATATATAGAGAGCAATGTTTTAAAGTTAACGTAATGTCGAATTTTTGCTAACATGCTGTTGGAACAGCTTAACTTCAGAGTAAGGTCGGATATGTGTGTTTTGAATGAAAGTTTTTCATCTAAAACAACACCAAGATAAGTTATGTTACTAGACAAGTATATTTTTTGACCACTTAATCGAAAGTTCAAGTATTTTGGAATATTTTTCTTAGTCTTTATAGAAAAGTTAGTATTTTGAGTCTTAAATATAATTATTTCTGATTTTTTAGTATTCAATGAGATTTTATTTGCTCTAAGCCATTGAACAAGACTGGTCATATCCTGATTAATATATTTATTAAGCTTTTTGAGAGAGTTTGTTATTAACTGAAGATTAGTATCATCAGGAAAATGATACGTTTTTGAATGTTTGATAGAAAGATTGAGATCATTAATATAGATAATAAAGAGAAGAGGACCTAATATGGATCTCTGAGGTATATCAAAAGACATATTTTTAATATCTGAGCTGGTTCCATTTATAGTTACAAACTGTTGACAACCAGAAAGGTATGATTTGAACCTCTGCAAGGATATGCCACGTACACCGTAATAATTAAGCTTTGAGAGGAGAATTTCATGGTCTACGGTGTTAAAAGCTTTTTGCAAATCGATAAAAACTCCACAAGCAAAGTTGCCATTATCAAGAGCAACTCTTATGCTTTCTGTAATTTTTACGAAAACCAAACTGGTGTTTATATAAGCATTGATTTTGGTTTAGAAATTTGTATAGTTTATTATGCATAACTTTTTTAATTATTTTGCTTACATTAGAAAGAAGAGATATTGGACAATAGTTAGTGCAGTCAATTGTAGATCCTTTTTTTGTGAATCGGAATAATTTGAGCTAGCTTAGCGGGAAATGTTCCTTTGCAAAATGAATTATTAAAATGGTACTAATTGGTTTACATAGAGTTGCTGACACCAGTTTAAAAAGTTTTGATGAAAGACTGTTTGGTCCAACACTCCTCCCTTCTATAATAGTGGAATTTATATAATCAAGAGTTTCCTCTTTCGTTATTTGTTGCATATAAAAAGAGTTGCTAGTAGGATTGGTCAGGTACTCATGATAGTTGAATTTAGAATTCGGAATTTCGGAGAATAATTTTGAAGCAATCGTGGTAAAGAAGTTATTAAAATGGGTTGACAGTTTTAGGATTGGTTTCGCATTTGTTGTTAATGAGTATGCTTGTTAGTGAATTACTATTATTTCGTTTAACATTTATCAACTCTTTTATGCCTTTCCAGGTGTTTTTTTATGATATTGATGTTGTGGTTAAAAAAGTTTGTATAATATTTCTTTTTGCTAAACTTTAGAAGATTGCTTATACTATTATGATAGTGTTTAAACAACATGGATCAAAAATAAAGAAAATTTTTTTGAATGTTTGAAGACGCAAGGGAACAAGTCTAAACGTATGAGAATTAAAGAAGGAACATTTTCAAATTTAGATAATCTTGTTTTTAATCTTGAGATAATCTCGTTTTTAAATGGGTTTTAAATATAAGGAGCAGCAACAATTCTTAAAGCAAAAGTCAGAGAACTTGCTGAAAAAAATAATATAAATGGATTTCAAGCGTCTGATGGTTGGCTTGATCGTTGGAAAAAAAGGTATAATGTTTTTTTCAAGACGGTATGTAGAGAGGGTAACTTTTGTACAGCTCAAATGACCACGCCACGGAAAGAAGCAACTCTCCTCGCAATATTATCCAGGTATAAACTTGATGAAATTTGTAATGCAGATGAATTTGGATTGTTTTTTCGTGCAACCTTATAAATCACTTAATGCAACCTAATAAGTCACTTAATCTTCAATCTGAGATATGTATAGGGAAAGCACAGTAAAATTCGTCTTACAGGAATGTTTGCAGCAAGTGCAGCGGGTGATAAAATTTCTATGTTTGTAATAGGAAAATCAAAATCACCTCGCTGCTTCAAAGGAATTAAGCATTTAACTTGCACATACAGAAATCAAAATAAAAGCTGGATGGATAGTGTACTGTTTGAAGAGTGTATACGATAAATGGATACAAAGTTTACAAAAGAAAATAAGAAATTAGCGTTTATAATAGATAACTGCCCAGCACACCCGACGGTTGATAATCTAAAATCTATTGAGCTCATTTTTTTACCAACGAAAACCACATCTAAACTTCAACCAATGGATCAGTGAGATATACGCTCTTTGAAAGTTTATTACAGATCTTTGGCATTGCAAAGGCTGTTCGTAGCTATTGATAAAAAAAAAAAGATCTTCCTGTTTTCTCAACTTTAGATGCAATAAAGATGCTTGATCTTGCATGGCAAAAAGTGAAAATCTCCACCATCATTAACTGTTTTGCAAAAGCAGAAATTTCTGAAGATCAGCAGATATCTGCATATTCGGATGAAGACAACGACTTCTTTAAAGAGGTTCAAAATCAGATAGAAAAACTTAATAATTTTTACCCTCCAGGTACAACAGCTGAAGATGTTGTTTTTGCAGATGAAAGCTTAATTAGCACAGAACCTTTACTTACAGATGAGCAGTTGGTAGAAGAAGTTAAAAATGCAGCCAATGAACATGATGATAATGACGAGGAAGATGAATGATGATGATGATAATGCAATCAATCTAGTTTCCCCAAAAGTTAGTGATGTTCGGGAGGCACTGCAAGTGTTGTATGACTATATGCCCTTCAGTTTTATGGGTGAAGATTTGCAACAAAAGCTCAATGCTGTCTCGATTATATTCGATAGAGGCGTATCTTCAAAACTAAAACATTTTTCAAATTGTTATTATTATTTTTACTTTTGAGATCAAAACTTTTAATAACTGGAGTTGTTTTTACTTATCGGCCAAAGTTCGTGTTATAGAATGTCCCGATAACACGAACATTCGCTAACTCGAACTATTTTTTTGGTCCCTTGGAGGTTCGAGATATCGGGAGTTCACTGTATTTGACTTTTAAAAATAGAAAGTTTTTTTAATCCGAACAAAGTGCTGAGTCATAAAACGAAGTCATATTAGAACGAAGTCTTCACATTCTTTACCAGTCTTATATGGATAGAAAAGAGATAATTTTCAGTGTATGAAAGACTATATAAAAATTAAAGATCATCAAACTTTCGAGACTCAGTGTAAGTTGCTAAATCAAAAACCTTTCATACCAAGATACCTATCATCTGAGTTTTCTAATTAGTTAATAGCCAGTTAGCTGAGTAGTGTGAAAACTTCGTTCAAAACATTGTTCACGGAAAAGATTTGTAGAAGAGTATAATCAACATCGAGAGCAACTCTGTAATTACTAAGTTACTTTAAAATTAATTTAGCATTAACTTTCGTGTTGTTTTAGAGAATGATAAAAAAACTTGATTTCTGTTGGATTATGTACCATATATACATTATTATTATAAACATTTTAAAATGTTTTTGTTGTTTTTGTATTGTAATGGGTATCTAATTTACTTAAACGAGCTTAGCCACACTCAATTATTACCCTTTGCCTCATATGTGATTTATCTTTTTTTTTCCAATTTTATAAACACTCTTTTCTATTTTTAAAGAACTCTTGAACAAGAAAAAATATTTTTTATAACGTGCATTTAAAATGCTTATATGGGCTAGACCCCTTCAATTTTACCCTTTTGACCCATTTATGATTCTTAGCACTATGTTCTGATTAATAAAACAAAATATTTTTTTATTGTTACAAGACAAACACTCTTGATTTAAAAAATTTATTTAAACGACACGACATATTTGAACGACATTTGAATGACACGACATATTTGAACAACACGATATAAAACCTGGTGCCAACAGAATATTGTAAAAAGCAACAATAAAACAATACTGGGAGTTTTATCAATCTAAAATGTCATAAAGCCCTGTAGAACTTTATACGAAATTATTGTATTAAAAAACAAAAAATATTATAAATCGTCGAAAATGCATAAAATTTAATAGGAAAAAAAAAAAAAAGGTTAAAAAACATTAAGTAAAAAATATTTTTTATATTAAAAGAAACGGTTGACGAAAGGTTAAAGTTGAAAAACATTAGTTTTAATTGAGGGAGAAGTAAACCAGAGTGATGCTGTTCTCCATTATAAGGGGCCCAGGTAATTTATAACTTCTGAAAAAAATTCACCGAATATTATATTGGTCAAAACTTAATAGGTTCCAGATGTTAATATTTGTTACACCTATCGAAATTTTGTATTTTTTTATAAAAAATTTTTTTTGTCACAGACGATGCCAATGAAACCAACAACATATTCTTTGAAAAACCTTGCTGAAATTATTTTATAAAAACAAATCTGTTGATTTTATTTTTTAATTAACGACATCAATCAATTAGAAGGTTGACTTTTCCATTGCTCTACTGTTAGTGTTTTCATTTCAAATGCATGAATTGACGGAAGAATATCTTTTAAAATAGTATTAACTAAGCGATGCCGTTGTAGCAGAGGTTTACCATTAAATTCATCTGATACAATAACAACAGCAAACATAGAGCCACAACCACCCGACTTGTCAGTGATTTCCTATAAAACACGGGTTTTAAAATTAATACAACTATCTTAAATCTTATATCTAATTAGTAGGAATAAGAGTAAAACACAAAAATAGAAGTGTAGTGTAAAAGTTTCAGAGAAAAATAATTATACGGGAGTAGAAAAATATTCTTATCAGTGCCGTGGATACTGGGTCCGAGGTCCCCCCAAACCAGTTATTAGGACCTGGAGGGGAGGGGTGTGGGGGAGCCTAGCCAGGGCTCTGATTGGGATTCACTATTTTAAATAAGGTGGTAACTTTACACGGTAAAAACTTTCAAAACTAAATGATCATTAAATAAAACTTGTAGATGAATTTAAACTAGATAGTAAAAAAAAAAAAATTTTATCAACTTGTTATTCTTAATCTTTGACGTAAAGGAGGGAGTTTTTGGGGTATTTCAGTTACCAGGCTCTAATTACAGCGATTTGCGAAATATTCTTATTTGACATAAATATGATAATATTTAAGCTTAACATTTTGGAAAAATCGCGAAATATTACAATTTTCATATGATCATGTAAAAATAAATAGCATCGTAAACATAAAAACCTTGACAAAAACGTTTTTAATTTTTTTATTATATATATATATATATATATATATATATATATATATATATATATATATATATATATATATATATATATATATATATACTATTATAATCAGTCAGGGACTCAAAGAAGGTAAGGATAATTCGTTAATCGTCAATTTCAATAGGAATCCTATTAAAATTTTATAGGTTCTATGGATTTGCTATAGGACTAATAGAATTCCTTTAGGTATCTTCTAGGTTCTATAGAAATCTTAATACAATCCCATAGGTCCTATAGGATTTATATATGTATCCTATAGGTTCTATAGGATACCTTTTTGATTCCTGCACTATTATAGGCTCTTTAGGATTTATTTATGTATCTTATAACTTTTATAGGATTCCTATAGGACCAATATGATACCTATAGGAATACAATTGCAATCCTATAGGTCTTATAGGAATCAAATATAAAGAATAAAACTGCTATAGGGTTAATAGTATTATCCTATATAAATAATATAATTTCTACAAGATTCATAGAACTTAAATAACAATAAACCAATTTCCTAACGAAAGTAATTGTCTTTAATAACTCCTATTAGGTTCTATAGGCTTTTTAAATGTAAAATACAACTTTCTCATTGTAAATTTATGGTCAACTAACATTACAACATGTATTTGCCTAGCTAATTTCAAAACAAATTAAAACCTAATGGAATATAATATATATTCCAGTAGGTTTTAATTTGCTTGAAATTATTTAAAAATTATTTTGAAACATATTTTTTGTTAATAGTTGGCATTTTTTTAATGAAGAGGTGGAGTTGTAGTTTATTTCGATCATAAAAATAAATGTTTTAAAATAGCTAATAGCACTTCGATAAGCTTAGCATATTTATGGCTTTAAAAAAGTAAAAAGTTAAACTAATTTTGGGTAATTTTAAAATAATATTGCTTTCGCAAACTATACATAAGATTTTATTATTCAGTTGAAATAAAAATTGAAACTTATTTTATAATAGATAACAAAATATTCTAGCCTTTATTCATTAAACGAGCCTGAATCTGAAAATAAACCATTACCTTGGATTGGAAAAGAAACTAAAACCAATTTAGCATATAACTGATGAAATCTATTTTAAAGCAAAAGTGGTATGGAATTCTATATATTAATTATGATAAAAGTAATAATAATAATTTGAGCAAAAGTACTAATAATTCATATATATATATATATATATATATATATATATATATATATATATATATATATATATATATATATATATATATATATATATATATATATATATATATATATATAAATACTAATAATTCATATATATATATATATATATATATATATATATATATATATATATATATATATATATATATATATATATATATATATATAAAAATACTAATAATTCATATATATATATATATATATATATATATATATATATATATATATATATTTATATTTATTTATACATGTATATATTTAGTTATTATAACTATTGTTTGAATTTTATATATATATATATATATATATATATATATATATATATATATATATATATATATATATATATATATATATATATATATATATATATATATATATATATATATATATATATATATACAGGCCTCGGCGGGAATCGAGAGCTTTAGCTCTTGCTATAATTTTAGCAACAGTAATAATAATTAAATATATTTAAATAAAAATATAAATATATAAATAAAAATATAAATATATAAATTTAAAAAAATGCATAAGTCAATTTTCATAGGCTAGTTAATTAGATTAGACCTAATTCCGTTTTCAATTTACTGCTTTACAAAAACAGCAAGCAAAATGGCTGATAAATAAATAATAACCAGATTTCGGGTGCGTTGTTTTAAAGTCCGCCACAAATACACAGGCAGTTTGTGTGTCATTTTGTCCATTAAAAGCGAAAATAAAAAAGTTTTTGAAAAATTTTAAAGTTTGACCCCACTGCCCCTGTTTTAAAAGTTTTACCCCCTCTGCTGACTACTTTTAAAAAACTGTTCAACATTAAACAGTGATTTTAGGCTAAATATGAAAATGTAATGTTCCAATTAAACATGTTTTGTATCATCTTTGATGGCATTATAATTCAACACTTTGAATTAGATGATGATATAAGTAAAACATTTAACTTAAGAAACAATTTTTTATTCCATTATTATCAAGTATTATTAAATTATAAAAATTATATGCAATGCAGTTGTTTTCTTATAAATAATTTTATATTTATATAATTTATAATTATTTGCTTTTATCTATAGGTATAATAGTATATATATAAAAAAAATCAATATGATATGAGCAATATTAAATTGAGAAAAAATGATGAGATGTTTGATAAAATTGTTAGGAATTGTTGTTACCAACCCTTGAAGCAAAGACATTTAGTCAAGTACTAAATTAAAAAATAAATGAGAGGTTTTACGCCATTATCTATATCTTACAACATTTGATTTGAAACTAACTGGTAAGAAAGAAGTTGGCAGGAATTCAAACAAAACAACAACAAAAATACTGTTATAATGATACATCTTAGAGAAAATTAAAATGATCTTAGAGAGAATTAAAATGATTTAAAATGTAAAAAAGTTATACGGCTCAACTTCTGAGTTTTACTAATAAGTTGTCATCTATATTTGACATTGCAGGGTCAAATGCAGAAGATTTGATTAGAAAAGATACCTCTTGTGACATCAATAGTCAAATATCATATTTAGATTATCTCTCAGATCAGCATCAATTAAAAAACAATTTTTGGGTTCATTAGATAAGAGATATATTATGAAAGTAAAAAGCATCATAGAAAATAAAAGCTATGGATTTCAAAGCTGGTATCTGAGGTAGACGGTAAAATAAAACGCTTGGTTATTGCATAAACAGGAAAACTAAGTGTACCCGAAAAAAAATTTTTGTGTGTGTCCAGGATTCCCGATACAACTGGGAAAAGTCAAGCAACAACAACCATAGATGCTGTAAAGGCCTGAAAACTAGAAAAAACAATTGTAGCAACGATTTTTGACACAACTCCATCAAATTCAGAATGGATAAATGTTTCTGCAAAGATAATCTTCAATAAAAAATTACTTTGGTGTGCCTCCAGAGACCATATTTTAGAAAGAGTTTTGTCATCTGTTTATTTAATGATTTTTGGAAAATGTCAATCTCCAAATTATGAGCAATTTACAAATGATGCATGCCACTTTAAAAATGATGCATGCCACTTTACAAATGATGCATGCCACTTTAAAAATGATGCATGTCTAAAACTTTCATTAAGTTCAGATACCACTTTTAGACAAATTAAAATTAAGGAACAAGTATTAAAAATCAAACAAACAGATAAGAATATTTGTCTGGTTTGTTTAACTAGAAGTCTCAAAAAATATTAAGAGATGATTATCAAGAATGTTGCCAACTTTGCAATTACTGAATGCAAAACAAATAAATGTACAGTGGCGCAAACCTGGGGCTTTCCATCATGCGAGATAGAGAAATACAATTTTGTATACAACAAAAATTTTTGCCTTTGCTGAATTGGCAGAGTATGAATAAAGTTATGTAGAGAAATTATCATAGTTTTGTAAATTTGCAATGCTATTTTATGTGAAAATGTGTCTTTAATGTACACAACTGATGCATCATTTAATGATATAGGATTCTACAAATAAAGAAAATCCTCTCTCGCTATTTTCTGATTAAGTGTCTGATCGCAATAAAGCTAAAATTGCTAAAACAATTCTTAAAAAGAAAAAAGAAAACTGGGAAAATAATTCAGGCTTCCCACAATTTCCTCTTTTGAAACCGAGAACTCTTTTAACTGATTTAGTCAGACCAAAATCAAGCAACATTATAAATTTTAACACAAATTTTCAACACATGTTTGAGCATATTAAATCATTGAAATCTGGAAATGAGCAGAACGAACTGTTAAACTAATTCAAGACAAAATCTATAAACAAAGATAAAGAGCATAAGAATTTCTTTTATGTGCAGTAGAACACCACAAAAAAATTCTTCCACAGATAATTAAACAAGCAATTCAAAATCTAAACTATTGAAAACTTAAAAAAATGACTTTATTTTTGAATTTCTTTGCACTTAGTCCCAGTTAAATCCCAGTTAGTGAAATATTTTCAACTTACAACAATTTATTTGCTTGTTTGTCATTAAAACATATTTTAATGATAAATCTTTTTTGTTATAATTAAAAAGTATAGTTCTAAAAACTCATTATTTTAGACAGAAAAATATCATGATCAGGGAAAGAAAACACTTTAGAATGGTTGTCATTAGGTTTTATTAAACTAAACTAAACAAGAATTATGTTAAAAATGTGAACATAGTTGATTATTAAAAATGTTTTTAGTCCTTTTTAGCAAAATTTTAGAAAAAAAAACAACTTAAAAAGGGTGGCGAAGGGGTCAATTGGTTTAAGTAAGCAAAAATACATATGAAACCAATTGAAATTCTGAAAAGAGTTTAAAATGAAAAAAATTTATGGATTGTGGGACACCTTAAAATATATATATATATAAATATATATATATAAATGTTATGTTATATATATGTTGTATAAAAACTTATTGAAAATGTTAACAAATTAAAGGAAAAAATGATTATCGCTATCTCTTTTAAATCTATGCTTGGATACTCAATTCATTCCTTTAAAAAATGAAGCACTCTACTATTTAAATTCTAATAAATCTAGTAGCTCACCTATAACACTACTAGTGGCAATTTTCTAAAATGTCAAAACCATCTTAGAAATTGACACTAATAATGTTATAGGTTATCTCCTATAGTATAACACACCTGAGATTGAAATTGTAGTACATATTTTGTGTAATGTTATTTTTAAGTAGACGTTAAGATTTTATAAAATCATTGAAAAATAATCTAATAAAGTATATAGTAACTATCTATTTTTATCGTTAATTTAAAAAATTGAAATATTTTAATGCTTAATATCAAAGTAAGATAAAATAAGACATGCTTATTTCATCTTAAAATACACTATTTTAATAATGCATTTTTTTTTTTTTTTGGTAGACATTTTTTTGGTGGAAAAACTATCCAAATTACTGCAAATCAAAATGCGGCAATTAGTTAAGGAAGCAGTTGGCAAGTTGTTAAATATTTAGCAATTGTGGTTTTTGGGGGTACAGTTTTATCAAGTCATTCATTGACAGGAGGTCAATGTAATTCAGTTAAAGGTAGTATATCTAAGCCAGCTTTAGACTCAAAGAAGGTTCAAGACTTATTAGGTATTGATATTATATTTTGTTTAGCAACACTATTTCCCCTTGTTTTTTATAATGAATATAATATATAACTAATAGTGTTCAAATTTAGTTTTCAGACTTCTTAGCCAAGCGATTTCTAAGGGAAAATTATGCTATGTTCAGAAAAGCAAATACTGCAAAGTGCAATGATGAAAGCAAACTTGCAAAACAAAGCATTGATATTTTCAAGAAAACTATTGTTTATGGAGAATATTATGTTAATAATAATAATAATTGATAATATAATTAACAAAAATAACTGACTTGCTGACTTAATACTTTATTTTTTATTTTTGTTTGTGTGAATTTAATTCCTTGATTTTTATTAAAATAAGAACTAAAAAATAATACCCAAGATTTACCAATATTATATACACACCTGTTGTTATATACACACCTGTTGTTATATACACACCTGTTTTAAATCATGATATTCTTATAAAGGATATTCCTATTAAATATCTTTTGACAACTGCAAAGGGCAATGCAATAGAATTTCAAACAGAATTGAATAGGATTACTGTATATATAAAACTATAAGATATTGTTCATACCATGTCTTATAAGGCACAAAATGAACAATACCTCATAGTTTTATATGTACAGGAATCCTATTCAATCTTGTTTGAAAACCTTATAGGAGTTTTTATCTTAAAAGACACCGAATGAATATAATATAATCCTATAGTTTTATATGTACAGAAACCCTACTCAAATAAGTAGGATTACACCAATAAATGTGTAATCGTCATAGTTTTTATCAAACATTAAGTTAAATGAAGTAGATTATAAAACATACCATAACCAGTTTTAGACCTACTATGACCGGTTTAGGATGCCTGACTGCTATTTATTGTAATGACAACATATCTTTTTTTAATAAAACGTCAAATAAATATCTGTAAACTAAATGAAATTTTGATATCAAATAGGATTTATTTGCAATAGAATTGAGGCTAGGTTATTCAGTAACCAGTAAGTACCATAGAGATAAGAACTATATCAAAACATCATACTACTATAGAATTATTTAAGTAATCCTTACAAAATGGACTGGATTTAACTTTTCTTTGATCAAAGCTTCAATTTTTTCAGCTGTCATGTTTTGTTACAAATTTATTATAGTCTAAACAAAACAAAAATACTATTTTATAAATACAACAAAGAAATACATAACAATATATTATATAAATATTATATAAATTTTACATATTCTCTAAATATTTTTGAAAATATTTTTATTATATTATAAACAATTTTTATTATATAAACAATTTTATTATATTATTAAAAATATCAAGCAACCATAATTGTGTTTGCAATCACAAACATTGCTTTTTCAATTTGTTTCTTGTTGCAATTCCATTAAAAATATGGTTGCCAAATAATAGCAAAACCAGAAAACATTTATAAACTGTCAATTAATGAAACATTTTTGACAAAGTCACCAAGAATAAATAGAAAAAAAGTTCTTTTAACCATAAACTATTCAACATAAAAAAAAAATCATTGAAAAATCATTAGAAGCTGTTAAAAAACAATCTATAGAACAAAATATTTATTTAAATTATTCTGAAAATTGCATCTTAAATACTATTCAAAAATGTATGTTATGTCTGAAAAACAAATTTAAAATTTAATTACAGAAAATGAAGGAACTAAACTGAATGTTGTATATCTTCAACTGCTTGTCTACTAATTAAGATGCGCTTTAAAAAGCATAAGATATTATGTGCATTAGCAGTGGTAATGAATGCTTGACTTTATACTATAAGTCATTGGAAATTCAAAAAAATAAAAATTTTTGAATGTTGCTGATTCACCTTGAATATTGACTTTGCCATTTGTGATCGCCATTGAAACCAATGTGGATAAAAAATTTTAATCGACTGGTGTGAATGAGATCAAATTTACTGATGCTAAGTTCAATACTAAGTTCTAACCCATACTATCTGTACTCAGCTTGCTATTTCAGATCTTGTGCATATAGATTTTTAAACCTTATGTTTAGTATTTTAATCTGTTAGTTATTGATAGGGGAAAAAATGTAAATAAATGCAAACAAATACTTTTAAAACAGTTTGCAATTACTAAGTGATTTAATTGTTATTCATATAATTTTACAAACATTCACAATCTGATTACTCGACGTAAATCCATCACCATCCCCCTCTGTCTCAATTAATGATGGTGTTGAGTCACACATTGGACAACGTAAATTTCTTACATCAGAAGATCTGAGCCACATAATTAAATTATATCTTTTTCCTGATGATATGGGCATTGCACCATGAAGATGATGACCTTGATGCAACACACCAAAGCCAAATTTATGTTCCACTCTAGTATATTTCAGTGATTGCGTCTGAAAAAAAATAAACAAATACAAAAAAGATAAATAAATTTCAATAAAATAAATATATAGGAAAAAAAAGCTTACATTACACAAACCACTAAAAAACAACTCGCCATCTTCAAAGTTGTCATTTAGACAAATGTTAATTGTAACCTCTGAATTATCATAATGAAGACTTAGACCTGTGTCATCAACTTCTTGATTTTCACAGTCATATACAACTACAAAGGCGCGGTGTGAATCAAATCCACTTTTTCCTACACAATTTGGATATAAGATTGAAAAAATTGGGTTTAAAAACCTTGTTCTGAATTCATTAAGAAAGCTTTCATTGAATCCAATTTCACCTAAAAGAATCTTTAAAAAAAGAATGTAAAAAATCTAAAATAATAGGTAAGTTTAAAAAACATAAGAAAACTTCAAACTCTTGCTCTCTAAGAAAAAAAAGAAAAAAATTTTCAAACTCTTTTATATGTGGTAAAAAGTATACAGTGTACTGAGTTGCCGAATTTTATTTTCACATCAAAGTTCAACTGCCTAATTGGGAGTTAAATACTTGCAGTCTTCTCTGTTTGAAATTTAATGCTAACGCACGAAAAAGCGCTGGCAGGATGGTCAATTTTAAGTTGGCCTGCACAATTTAAATTAAAATTAAAATAGCGAAAAAAATATTTTGAATAAATACTAGATAAAAAAGTTTTAAATAAAACTGGAAGAATTTCATTAAAGTTGAACAAATGAACAAAAAAAGTTTTATTGCAATTTAAAAAAAATTTTTTTTTTGGCAAGCCCTTTTTTATGCGCTCGCCAAAGTTTTTGCGAGCGCAAAAAGACTTGAGCACAAAAGGGCTGGCTAAACAGAGAAGACTGTATTTGAAAAAAACAATGGTAAAAAATAACAATAACATAAATAAAAACAAAGATTATTTATTGATTATTACATAAGATGTAAAGTCAATATTTAATGATGTGGAGATAATCCAACTCAAATGATCACTCAAACTAATCTTAACTTACTTTAATTACAATATAAGTCTACCATTTTTAAATAGGTTTTAATAGCTTAAATTTTAGAAATCAAATAAATATTTATTTTAAAAACATTTGTCGGTGCGCTTTTTAAAGAAAATAATTTGTGTGCTTTCCAATAGCCGAATAAAGTATTTGAAAATAATGTCATGGCTATAAATGTTAATGTTTATAACATCAATGTAATCTAAATAAAGAATGTAAAATAAATAATATACTCCCAATGTGTTCATTGTATTAGGCCTTCCTTTTGGAAAATTAGTTGAATTAAAGTGCTCAATTTCCTCAACCATTTTATGGCAGAATTCTTTATTGAAAACTCTCAAACGAAACACTTCCGGTTCTAAACTCAAATAAAAATGCAATCTTAAATAAAAAATAATCTTAAAAAAACAAAATAAAACAAGTATGAAACACAAAAATCATAAAAATTCAACTTGAAGATTATGTAAAATATTATAACAGAACTTGAACTTTATTACTCAGCTTACTATTTCAGATCTTGTGCATATAGATTTTTAAACCTTATGTTTAGTATTTTAATTATTTACAATTTGGTGATTTATATTCTTTTAAACCACTCTTTGAAGGAATAAGGCACAACATATTTAAATAAATTGCCATTAGGAGTAATTAGCATTTATTATGCAAATAAATCTTGAAGGCAATTAACACCTAATCAATATACCATGCTTAACAACTAATCTAATTATCATGTATAATTACTTATATATGTACTTTAAATCTAAGTCTTTATTGGAGCATGGTTTTCTGAATTAGAAAAATAAAAATAGCCTAACATTTTTGCATGCATGCAAATTCAAAAATTTAAATTTAAAGTTTATACTCAAAACATTCAAAGTTTTTAGAACAACTTCATAAAATGTTTATTTTTTTATACTCTTTTTATATACATGCATAATACTGCAATTACCATGACTAGTTAAACTAAAAACTAAACTAAATAAATAAAATATTTTATAGTCAAATGATTACCCTCAGTCTTTAGAAGTTTGTTGATCAATGTTTTTCTTGAAGTTAAAGGGTGACAGGACTCTTGAACCAAACATAAAAACTCTCTATGCAAATAGTCATCCTTAACAAATCAAAATAATCCATATATATATATATATATATATATATATATATATAATAATAATAATAATAATAATAATAATAATAATAATAATAATAATAATAATAATAATAATAATAATAACACCACAAAAAGCAGTTATGTTTTTTAATGGTTTAAAAGAAGTTTTAAAATAGAAAAAAAAATAATAATAAATCTATTAATTAAATCAAGCAAAAATAAAAAACAAGAAAAGACCAAAGGTTTATTGAAAAACAAGGAAAATGATATTATGAAAAAACAAGAAAAAAAAAAAGTCACTAAAGCAAAAAAATCAAATAAGAAAAATAAGAAATAAAAAAAGTAAATAAAGAAGGCAAAGAAAAACAGAAAAACAAACTATTGGAAACATCTATTACAAAAACAAACTATTGGAATGCATAAAAATAATAAAAAAAATAATTGGAAATGAAAGGGAAAGATCTTTTATTGTTTATATTTTTCATAATTTGTTGTTAACATTTATTTCTTTTTTTTTCCATGTTGATGTGTCATAATGTAGTCATTATTTTTTTAGTTTATTTTATTTAAATTAATACTTGACTGTTTAGTCAAAAAAAAATTTATTATATCAAGTGATATTCAAGTTTTTATTTTTGTTGATTATATCTTTGTTTCTTCTTTCATTTTAATATTATCCATTTATCATGAACAACTTATAGATATTGTTGCTGTTTTAATGTGTTGTGTTTTTGTTTGTTATGATTTTGTTTAAACCTTTTGTTGAAGTTTTATAACAATCATAATATTATTATTTTAATGATTATGCTGTTGTTACTGATGTTATAATTGTTATTACGTTATCTCTTCTTTTTAATTGATACAACTGTTTTACATTTTATATCAACTTTCTAACTTCGTGTATATATTTATTGTGTTTAAAAAATCAAATTACTAATTGCTATTACTATTATAACTACTATTATTATAAAAATTAAATAATTATATTATATTATTATAATTATTATTATTGCTATCATTATTAATAATTTTAATATTGCATGTTTTAAACTCTATCATTTTTATTATATATTGTGAGCATATTATAACATACTATTTTTATTATATTATTAACATTATTAGGTATATTTTATATTTTAATTGCTTGTATTTTTTTGATTGTTTTAATTGACACTTGCTTTTATTTATCCATATTGTTGTTGAACTTTATTTTTGCTTGTTTTATTTTGGTGTCAACCCATTAACTAGTTTAGGTGTCACTTCATTGAATAGTTTAGGTGTCACTCCATTGACTTGTTTAGGTGTCACTCCATTTACTAGTTTTTGACTATATGAGTGACACCTGACTTTGTTACAATTATAATTTATATTAAAAAGATTATAATTACAATTATAATTTATATTAATAAAATTTGTAATTTCTCAATTTTTGGTTGAATAAATGGATTAAAAAGTAAATAAACATATATCTTTGCATAGCAAGTGAAAAAGAATTTATTGGTAAAGAAAAGTCCTTTTCAATGCTCATATTTAAGCCACCATCAACAATTTAGCGACATTTAGTTAAATGTTAAAATAATTAAATAGTTTCAGAAATTAAGTGATAAATTTTATGAAATAAGTTTTATGATTTTTTTAAAAAACTTAATAAATATGCTTTTTTAATTAATGAAGTTTTGTTTTTGTTTTATTATTATTTTATACTGTTTAAAAAAATATATTTTTCATTATCTATTTTTGTTTTATTGAAGGGAGTGTACATACATTGAGTGATTAAATAGATAGAACATGCAAAGAGTGTACATACATCTACTGACTAAATAGGTAGAACATGCAAGCAGTGCCACTACATTTTGGTTTAGGCAGGCAATCTATTAATTTAAAAAAATGTTTTTAAAATTTTTAAACTTTTTCTGATCAAATTATTAAATTTATTAGTGTTTAATTTAAAACAACAGAAAAAACCTTTGGAGGAGCATGTAAGAGTATGTATATTATATATACATAGATACATATATATATATATATATATATATATATATATATATATATATATATATATATATATATATATATATATATATATATATATATATATATATATATATATATATATATATATATATATTAAAATGTCAAAATTAGGATTTTGTAGGAAAGTGAAAAAAGAGAATTTTTATATCCATAGCAAATATTTTTCATAAATAATATATTTTTCTCAACAAAATGACTGTCCTATAATTCAGGCTATTTTACCTATAAAAGAGGCTTATACAAGCAGTTATTATTTGTATTGTGCTAAATCAGCAAATACTTGCTTCTTATTACGATTTTTCTGTGATTTTTGACCAATAGATTTTTGAACTTAATCAATTGAAAATTTAATTTTTTTTTCGATTCAATTATGCTAATTAACTAATATTTGTTCAAAACATAATACTAAACATGAAAATCTTTTAACTGGTATATAATCTACTGTGTATATATATATATATATATATATATATATATATATATATATATATATATATATATATATATATATATATATATATATATATATATATATATATATATATATATACCCATATAGTGTAGCTTTAAGAGCATTTTAATGTAAAAAAAGTCTCTTACGACTACAGTTTTAATTACCTCGTCTCTTAAGCTGTTTTTGATTGTCATCGAAATGTCAAAGCAATTAATTTATGCGGAAGTACATTAAATTTAATTGTTTTTTAAAAAATTTTTAAAAAACCGCAATTATAACGACTAGAAAGTTTTTTTTAATTAGTGGTGTTTTTGTTATTGATTTAATAAAAAACATTTTTTAAACATGCGTAAATGTTGCTACATCGACTATCTTATAGCCTGACTCACAACGGAGTGCTGCTACATCGACTGACAAATAGCCTGACTCGCAACGGAGTGCTGCTACATTGACTGACAAATAGACTGACTCGCAACGGAGTGCTGCTACATCGACTGACAAATAGCCTGACTCGCAAGGGAATGCTGCTACATCGACTGACAAATAGCCTGACTCGCAAGGGAGTGCTGCTACAACGACTGACAAATAGCCTGACTCGCAAGAGAGTGCTGCTACATCGACTGAGGGTTTGGTTTGGCCAGGCAGTCTATCAATTAAAAAAAAAAATTTAATTTTTAAAACTTTTTCTGGTCTGGTTTATTAACGCGCTCTTTAAAACTACAGTTTATGGGAAACATTTTTTGATGCCACGCAAGAGACATGCAAGAGTATATATATATATATATATATATATATATATATATATATATATATATATATATATATATATACACTTACTAAAGCGAATTTTTATAAGCACTTGCTAACTTTTTTTGCTTACCTTAACCCATACCACTTTTTTAGAAAAAAAAACGAAAAATGATGAATGAAACGATTGCTGCCCCATCCCAAACCCTCAGTTGATGTAGCAGCTCCACTGCGAGTCAGACTATTTGTCAGTCGATGTATGTACTGAGACCCCCAGCAGCAGGCTATTTCAGTATGACATCAGATTGCATACCTTAGTACACAATACTATTTGTATATATATATATATATATATATATATATATATATATATATATATATATATATATATATCATAATAACTAAAACCTTGCAGTAGCAAGATTATAGGTTCAAACCACTGCTTAGCATATGAGTAGTACCAAAGGGACACACCTTTATTAGCTCTGCTATACCTATATGTTCCTTTCCTCCACAAATGGCCAAAAAAAAACAATAAGTAAAAAAAAAAGATTACCTTTATATATAAAATATATTATAATTATAAACACTACACCTTTAAAACATAAATTTCTCTATGAAGTGGAATATAGTTTTCATTAATAATTTTTTTGCGAAGCAGAGAAAGCTTTCCATTTTCCTTTCTTCTTTCTATTTCAGCATGTATCTAAAATATTAGTAGTAATAATTTACTGTCATAAAATTCTTTTTCTTAATTAACAGCATGTTTCTACAAAACAGTCAATAAACAGCTAAAAATTATGACAGCAAGAAAAGTTTAAACAAATTTACAAAAAACCTAATTTTCTATTTATTACAACTGATTGTCCAGATTTGTGTGATAAAAATTTTATTTAATGTATATGTGATATTAGACCTTAAAGTCATATTAGACATTTACTTCCAATATATATATATATATATATATATATATATATATATATATATATATATATATATATATATATATATATATATATATATATACACACACACACACACACACACTGTGTTCAAAATATCTTCTAGTTTTTATTTTCCTGCCGTCAAACATCAAAATCTTCATTCAAAACTATTCCCCACACAATATTTCTCTGTTGCTTTTTTGATGTTTGCAATTGACTACATATTGAGCAATATTTGCAAAATTTTCTAGGCTCACAAAGTAAATTTAATTTTTCATGCCTTTTAAAATAATATTTTAACAAGCCATTGCAAGTGTTTAATCTACTTTTACACACAGTTTAATCATTTAACACATATGGTTATCCTAAGTACATATAAGTAACAAAAGATTAGTCTCTCTAGGTGGAGTGAAAATTATATGAGTTAAGTAGGAATGTCACTAAATAAGTAATTCTTAAAAATACCAAAATGATTTCCTTTTTTTATTTAATATATAACTCCACAAAATATCGAATGATTTCCTTTTTCATTTATAAATTTTACTTGTTTTAGACAAACTTGAACAACAGGTTGATTTGGCAGCCTCAAAAACAAACATAATGCTTGGAAAGCTTAAAAAGTGGTTAAGAAGCTAAGGTATGCTGATTTGGAAAGTGCCCTATACTTACTTACAAGTGTGGTCAGCCTACCTCAAATGCAATAAAAACTCAAACAAATCCAGCACAGAGCAACTAAAAAAATTACTGAGCTAAAACATCTTCCTTACAATGATCTTAAAAACATCTTAAAATTATCTTCATTACAAAGACTCAACACTTTTGAATTAACCACTCTGAAAATCAGAAGGAAACATGGAGATCTTATACAACAGTATAAAATAATACATGGTTTTGATAAAGTTGACTTCTTCACTCCACAATTAACTGCACCTGCTTCTACTCCACACTACAATCTACCCTGCCACAACCTTCCTCTGGAAAAACAGAATATGTCAAATTGTTCCAAACAAATCCATTATTTGACAAACCATATTGTAAATAGTTGGAATGCTTTACTGTCTAAAACTGTAAATGTGTTGCCAACTAATACTTTCAAGAAATTTCTTACCAGAAAACCATAAAAAGGATTAGTCAAACAACATAAATAGTCAACCAGATACACTAAGTATCCTCAGCATAGAAATGCCTGTTGCCACACTGTAATACTACTACAACATATTGTACTGTAATGTAAAATAAATTAGATTGACCAATCAGTTAAATTTATATTTAATTTTAATTATACAGGCTCACCATGTTTAATATTGTAAAAAAATTAAAATATAATAAGATACAATTGAAAGCGGAACCAACAATTTGTTGTTTTTCTGAAAAAACAACCGATGACTGGTCATCTGCTTGATGAAACATCCTGTTTCTTCCATCAGGTTTGACAAATACTTATGTTTACAAACACTTATGTTTACAAACACTTATTCATTATTTCAAACCCTGAGTTAACAGTTAATTTTTACCTCTTTTATAACTTCACTGATTTCAAAGTTGCTGTAATTATTTTCTGAAAAAAACTGAAAAAGTATTTTATTTTTAAAACAAAATATAAAAACAAGCAACAGCAGTAATAAAAAAAGTAATAATATAAAACTTAATAATATAAAACTTATATAAAAATTATAACTACACTATTACAACAAAAAAACAACATAATTAGCAACGAAAATAACAAAAAAAAGTACTAATCTAGTAAAAAATGTTTTGCAAATAAATTTGCATTTTACCAACAGTTTGCAGTTTGCATATTACATATTACCGTTTTTTATAGTCTCTTAATAATTTATAGTTTTAATTGTATTATTTAATTTGACAGATCATTTTTTGAACTGTATAAAACAGGTTAACACTTGGAATGGCATAAATCAGCTCTAAAACTGCACACTGTCAAGTTTCAAAAAAAAAATATCCTATTGCTTGTTGATGTATTGCTAGACTTAGTTATCTCACTAGACATATGCTACCTGCAAGAGACTTGCTAAAAAGGTGGGAGTGCTAAGATTATAGAATTTCATGGTATAAATTTAGATGTTGTTTTAGTAGGGGAAAAAAAAAAAAGATAAATCACATAGTTGAGATAAAACAAGTAAACAAGCGAATAATGATTTTAAGAGCGTCATTGGTTTAATATAGTTTCAATAAAAGCACCTCAAACAGGTAGGACAAAAAAAAGAAAAGAAAAAAATATAAAATACTCTTGACAATGTTTTTGGAGAAAACAAGCCAAAACTTCTTGAAATTATGGCATTAAAATAAATGTTTTTTGTTAATATCTCAGTAAATAATTTGTTTTAATAACTCCAAACTTATTTTCTAAGGTTTATTTAAATTTACAGGAGCAATTTATGGCTCTCACAAAAGTATATTTTTTCTCTTAAAATTATAATTATCATTGTAACTAAAATGTAAAACTCAAAGTCCTTTTAATAATAATAAAAAAAAAAACTTAATTGCAATGCTTTTTAAAAGGCACAGTTGTAGCACAAAAAAATAATAATAATAAAAAAGAGAGCTGATTTAAATGCAAAATTTTTGATTAGATTAGACTATTTGATAAATAAAAAATTATTAGACTAAATGATATTGATAAAGTATAAAATTACTTAACTGATAAATAAAGATAAAATTATTGCACTCTAAATTATTGCATAATAATTTTTATTTTATGTAATTATATATATCTTATATAACAATTACTTTAACATATTATTCACATTTATTGTGGAATTTTTAATTGTTGTAATAATTCTTAAATATTATTATACTATTGCAATAAGAAATATAAAACACTTTTTATTTTGTCAAATTTTTTATCAAATAATGTTGTTAATAAATAAATGGATAGCAAGTGTAAAAACCGAAAGACAATGCTCATCTAAAATATTTTTTCACAGCACAAAATGACGCTTGTTATGTATATACTCTTGTAACATTAACATTACAAAAATATTGTAACAAGTATAAAACTAAATTTTGTATTTAATAAGCAATTTTTTTTAATGAATAATTAATTAGCTCATGCAAAAACCAAAAGCTCTTGTATAAAGCTGTTTAGAGGAGCAGCTCACATGGCTCACCATGTTCATTTTAGGAGAACTTTTCTACGCTCTTGCACTCATTCACTCCTGCCCAGGCCTGTTAAACAACTTACTTATCAAAATAAAAGAACAAAAAAAGAAAACAAATAACAGTAAGTAAAACAATAAAAACCTAAACAGTATAAATAAAAGAAGCAAAAAATTAAAAAAACAAAAACATTCTTAATATGTAGTCAATAAAAGTTGGGTTTGTGGGGTTTTTTTAAAAAACAATAAAATTTAATCATCATCAAAGATTCAAAAGTCATAGGGTTAACACCCTCTTTTGGCCTTCTGACTAATGGCAACATTATTAGAAAGAAAAAAAAGAGCATCATTCACAAAACATTTTCCTTATGACCTTAGGTGAATACATAAATTTAAATTGAACTAATAAATTGGAAAAACAAAAACATTAATCTTCATATTTAATTTTATTTTAGAACATAAAGTATAAAGCATAATAATATACCTCTTTGTAATCATTTATAAACTCTTTATCTCCTCGAAATGTAAAATGGATTCCACAAGACTTCACAAAAATATTATTTGTTAAAAAGCATTTGCAAATTAGCTCACTATTTCCAGTCATTTTTAAATTAATCTTTATTGTATATGCAGAAAAAAGACTTTAAAATAGGAAATTTTTTATAATTAATTTATACCATTTCATTAAAAAAAAAATTTAGAATTCTTGATGAAAAAATTTTTTAATGCATACAAAAATATGCATATCAAAAAACTTACAAATGACATAATTCAAATTATTAAAAAGATTTATTTTCTATAACTGCATACATATCATACAATAACTAAATATATGCGTTATAAATATACATTACATACATACATTACAAATATAAGGGTATAAACATCTTGAATTTACTTTTAAAAAAATGGTTTTTTTGAAAACTTACTACAAAAATAAAAACATGGGTAAATATATCTAGTATCTATTGAACTTTTACCACATTTTATGTGGGTACTGTAAAAAATACAACTGTATTGCATAGCAAGTATAAAAAAAAACCCACATTATTAAAAAAAAGGCAAAAAAATTATAAAAACTACAATAACATTTTTTTGTATATATATAACATTGATTATTGTAAAACAAGATATTTTCTGTGTTGCTTTCACCATTAGAATAAAATATCACACAAGCTAATTGAATTTTGTTTGAAATAAATTTGTATTTAATGTCATGCTTTCATCTTAAAAAAATTAATCAAACTTTTAGATTACATCAAAACATTAAAATTCTTTAAATGTTTCTTAAACTATGGACTTTCAATAAAACAACTTAATATTTCTACTTATTGTCTGTACAAAACTGAAATCCACGTTCTAATTTAAACTGAGTGACATATTCATTTTAAAGAGAAGCTTTTTTAACACTTAAAGCTTTTAAAATTTGCAAACTCCAAGTTAAGGGCAATTTACCAGATAATGTTTAGAGAGACTGTTAAATTTAAAACTGAAAATATAAATAAGTGACAGAGCTCTAATCTTTACATTTTGATAAGAAACACATTGAGAAAAATTGAATGGCTCATGTTACTTAAATATAAGAAAAACAATAATTTGCAAAAAACTCCTGACATAAGTGAAAGAAGGTCAAATTAAAGAATCAAGCTAACTAATTTTTGCATTCATTGTCACATCTACAACAAATACAAGTTTGAAGAGGGGATGCATAATTATTTTGAATGACTTGACCTCACATAGTAAGTTATTTAAAAGTCTTATTTTAGACCTCATTAAAAGTTTATTAAAAGTCTCATTTTTAGCTGAGACCGGAACCCTGGCCTGGCTAAAAATGAGACTTTTTGCAAAGCCAAGCAAGAATAAGTTTTAGTTTATCTTAATAGAGATGATAGCTCGTTTGAGCATTGATCATGATTTTATTTGTAGAAAAAAGAAAGAAATGCAACCTTACAGAAGGGGGAGAGTGGCAGATAAACCAGGTCTAATAACATTTACAATGTGCTTTAGACTTGGTCTGAGAGTAAAAAGGTTGTTATTCGTAAATATAGAAATGCCAACAATATTGCAATATTTTTTTGCAGTAAATAAATGAGTTTTGCTGTCTAACAAAAATTGTGAATTTTTAGTCCAGAATTTAAGTGCAAGCCACTGCAATCTTTAGGCTGTTACAGAAAAGAGATCATATTTAAAATTGGTTGCTTGTTCTAAGCAATTAAAAAGTAAAGATTTTTAGTCAAGAAATGATTATAAAGTTGAGTCACCAGCAAATAGGGCCACTTTAGATTTCATGAAGATCACTATTGTAGATAAGAAACAATACAGGAGCAAAGATAGAACCTTGCGGTACCCTTAAAGTTGCTTGAAATAAAGCAGAGGGAAATATATATATAGTGAGATCCTTTTTAAGCTCAGATGCCCCCTGCAAGCAATCAGAGGGAGTTGGCTTCTTATCATGACAAGAATAAATGGTAGTATCATCAGGGAACAATGCCACCTTAGATGTGAGAATATCTGGAAGATTGTTAATGTAAATTAAAAAGAGTATAGGGTCAAGGATTGAACCTTGGGGAACCCCTGAGGTTACAGAATAAGAAGAAGAGTGCTGTTCATCAAGGACAACTTTTATACTACGATTGGAAAGAAAGGATTCAATAATTTTAAAGATGTTTCCAGATACACCGTAAGAAGAAAGCTTATAGAGAAGACCAGCATGCCTAACTTTATCAAACACTTTAAAAATGTCAAGAGCGATGGCCTTAACCTCTCCACCTTTATCTAATGTGCAATAAAACTTATCGGTTATTGTTGATAGCAAATCAGCTGTAGAACGAGAAGATCGAAATCCATATTAATGATCAGAAAGTAGGTTATGAGATTCGAGATGAGAGATTAAGTGTTTATTAATTAAAGATTCTAAAACCTTGCTTATGATAGGAAGAAGACTAATGGGACGGTAGTTAGACGAATCGGATCGCTCTCCAGAATTTTTAAAAATAGTGATAACAGATGCTGCTTTCCAGCAGGCTGGAAAACAAGACTCTGATAAGCACTTGTTGAATAGTTTTGAAAAGATAGACGACAGCTCCAGAGAACACTTCTGCAAGACTATAACAGGTATGTTGTCCGGGCCGCAAGCTGTAGAAGAGTCTAAGTAGGAAATCACTTTAGATACAGAAGCTGGAGTGATACGGATGTCGAGCAATGGATCAACCTGTTTGACGGCTATATCAGGTAGAATGCAACTAGTGGAATCAAGAAATGATATTGATGAAAAGTTCTTGGCAAACAACTCAGATTTGTCTTTGGTGAAGTGACAAAGTCTGAACCATACAAAAAAGGTGGAATTACAGACTTGCCCTTATTATTGATACTATTAAAGATTCTCCAGAAGTCACGAGAGCCTAATTTTTGTGATGAAATATGAGATTTCATGATCTGAGAATAGCGAGCTTTGGCGTTAGACAAAACCTTTTTACAATGGTTCCTAGCAGTAATAAACAGACGTCTGTTTTCTTTAGAATTGTTTTGCTGATAGATATGGAAGTAATGGTTTCGATTGGCAATTGCAGCAGCACAATGTGAGGAAAACCATGGAGAAGAGTGAGGCTTGACCTGGAATTGTCGAGAGGGAATAAAGGATTCCATGCCAGCCTGAATTCACAAAGTTTTGTAAGAAGCACATTTGTTGACAGGAAGACGAAAGATTTCTACCCAAGGGCCATCACGAAGAAAGTCATGGAAAGAGTCCTAGTCAGCTTTAAGGTAGTTATAAGATGTACAATGATAGGGGGATTCTGATGGTAAAGAAGAATGAGATAATAATTTTAGAGAGACCAAACCATGATCGGATGCACCTAAAGGTGAGTGTGGAGAAACTGAGCACTGACTAGGATCAGAAACAAGACATAAGTCGAGTAGAGAAGGTAAATGATTCGGGTTATCTGGAAAGCGAGTTGGAAAGTTGACTATTTGAGTTAGGGATTGAGAAAGGCAAAAGTTGTGGATCTTAATGCCTGCAGAGTCACTGACACTAAAGTTAAGCCATTCAGTGTGATGAACATTAAAGTCACCGACAACAACAATATTGGCTGATGGATAAAGAATGAGGGCTTGGTCAATATAATCATAAATAACACCAAGAAGAGTGCAGTCTTGAGATAAAGGAGAGCGATATAGAACAAAGAGAAAGGTGATAGAGTGAAGTGGTGCTAAATGAAAGCACATAAAAGATTAGTTTGTGGATTCAAACCTAGTTTCCCGACAAATGGGTGAATTCTTACGAATGTAAATGCCCAGGTCAAGCATGTGACTATTGGAGTCTTTATGAATTAAAGCAAGATAACCATCAACACTAAGATCACAAGATGAGACAGCTGAACTCAAATTAGTCTCACAAAGAGCAAGTAGGTCTGGTGAACTTTTCAAGAGATAAGACTCAACAGAAGAAAAGTTACTTTGAAGACCACGAATATTGGTAAATGATAGGTTTAGCGAACTTGGTGATGACTGTGGTTTTTTGTGTTTTATAGTTTTTGTTACTTTATTCATTTTTAAATTTGTTAAAGAACTTGACTCAAAACATAAATAGTACTCAGTACACTGTTTTATAGTCCAAGCAATTGCCTCATTTCCTCTAGTAAATCCTAAGCCGTAACAAAGGGCTCCAATGTGGCTTTGGCAATGCACAGCAAAAGTACAAACTGGGACACCATCCATGCGCAACATGGCACTGTTAGTACTCTGACATTTTTCAGCTGTTGATGGAATCAGCCTCTCGAGAGCTACCACAGAGTTCGAGAAACCTGACTACCAGCCGGCCTCAGAACCATAAAACTGAGTTTTAGAGCTGTACTCTCATTTGGAGATAATAGAATGAGTTGCCTAGTCATAAAAACAGAGACACAAGCAAAACCCATGCATCCAGTCAAGAAGATCAAGCGTTGAACATCCTAAACTGGAAACAATGTATTAAAAATACATCTGCGCCAGCCTAATAGATGAAAAAAGGGTGCAAGGCTGGTCAACAGATAGAATCTGTTTACCCCTTAAGTCTTTGCCTAGGAGGCCTTCTACAAGACAGCAGCCGGATGCATTTAACATCTGCCCAAGTTGAGTAATTTTATCAAGACATTATCTCTAGCCTTTACTCAACCAAGAGCCCCAAGGCAGGGGGTGTTTTATGTCGGAGTTTGCATCTCCTAGCCTTAGCCTAAAAAGGCATATCCTACAAGGCAGCAGGACATGAAGCAGATTGTACTGGGTCACATGTTACCAGTAGCAGGATAAACCTGACCTGACCAGAGTTACTTTAGTTAATAACAATGTTGAAGACTAACCGAAAGTCTCTAGAACCTAATATCTGAGATAAGATACAAGATTTAGTCAAATGAGAATAACAGAGCTTAACATCAGACAGGACTTTTTTACATTGGTTTCTTGCAATAATAAAAGGACACTTGTACTTAAGGGAGATTTTCTTGTAATAAAGATGAAAATGATGATTAATGTTTAATAAAACAACTGCTTAAGATGGTGAAAAATGTAGAGTAGAATGACGCTTGACTTAAAAGTGAAGAGAAGTAACAAAAACTTCCAAATTTTTATTCCAGAAGGAATAAAAGCTTCCAAGATGCACTTAATGCATACATATTATGGATATAAACATATATGTTTGCTATGCTGGCATACTATATTCTTTCATTGCTATATAAACTTTAGTATTTATATGGTGTAGTATTTGCTGAAGAGAAGATGATCAGATGAATGTGTGGTGTAACTCTAGTAAGACAAGAAAAAGAGGCATATGTTTAGACAGATAAGGAAAAACATTGTATCAAACAACATTTTATTAGAAAAGATTAAAGTAATTTAGGTATCAGCATGTAGAGAGATAGAAGCTTCAGTAGAAAATGGTAGTGGTAGAAGTAAGAAAAATTGAAGAGAGTGCCTTACATATTGTATGAATGAGCTTTAATTAAGACAAAAAAATGCTCTAGATTGTATATATTAGGGAAACAGCATAAAAGAAGAAGGCTAAAGCCTGATTATGATGATGATGACAATGATGATCATAGTGATGATGATGATCATTATCATCATCATAATGATCATGATGATGATCATGATCATCATTATCAGCATACATACATGCATGCATGCATGCATGCATACATACATACATACATACATACATACATACATACATACATACATACATACATACATACATACATACATACATACATACATACATACATACATACATACATACATACATACATACATACATACATACGTACATACATACATACATACATACATACATACATATGTACATACATACATACATACATACATACATACATACATACATACATACATACATACATACATACATACATACATACATACATACATTCATACATACATACATACATACATACATTATGTATTTATGTGTGTATGTATGTATGTATGTATGTATGTATGTATGTATGTATGTATGTATGTATGTATGTATGTATGTATGTATGTATGTATGTATGTATATGTATGTATGTATGTATGTATGTATGTATATGTATGTATGTATGTATGTATGTATGTATGTATGTATGTATGTATGTATGTATGTATGTATGTATGTATGTATGTATGTATGTATGTATTTATGTATGTGTGTATGTATGTATTTATGTATGTATGTATGTATTTATGTATGTATATATGCATGTATGTATGTATGTATGTATGTATGTATGTATGTATGTATGTATGTATGTATGTATGTATGTATGTATGTATGTATGTATGTATGTATGTATGTATGTATGTATGTACTAAGGAAATTTTGAGTGTATGTAAAATTTCCTTAGTTCCACTTATAATTTGTACATATAAAATACTTAAAATATTTGCATTTTTTTGTTTTTTTTTTTGTTTATTACAGGAAATATTAGGAATAAATAAATATGCAAACAATATTTTAATAGAAAATAATTATTAATTTATTTTGTAAAAAGCTGTTAGAAATATTTTCAAAAAACATGCAAAACTTCTATTGTTCCATCAAAAAAAAAAATTTATAATTATTGTTTAAAATAACAATTTTTTAAATACTTTAGTTTTTAAAAATGTGTACTTTTTACACTAATTAAATTTAAGATTTGGTTTTTCATTTTTTTAATATGATTTTCCAAATAAACCTTTGAAATACTGTTCCATGCTTGTTGGATAGAAGTTTTATGTATTGTATTATACTGTCAAGAATTTCCATATATAGTTTGTGCCAATGATACCCATAAATTTTCAATAGGGTTTAAGACGGGTGAATGTGATGGCCAGTCCAAAACATGCATATTTTTTTCCTGGAGCCACTGTTTTACACTTAGTGCCATGTGAATCACTGCATTATCTTGTTGAAAAATTCAATTCTCAGTAGGTAAACATTCACTAAACTCAATTAAAACATCTTCTAAAAGATCTTTGTAATTTCTTGCATTCATTTTTGTTGTAATAAAACATATTAGAACTTTGCTGTGGACAAAATGCAGCCTACCCAATAATTGTCCCTCCAAAAGTTACAACTCATAGCAATGCTATCATTTTTTTTCAAATCATGCCAATAATACTTAAAACCAATGGGCCCATCTAGGTTAAACTTTTTTTCATCAGAAAAAATAACATTTTCCCAATCTTCATCCCATGTCATGTGGTCCTTGGCAAACTCAAATCTCACACTTTCATGTTTTATAGTCAATTGTAGTTTTGTGATCATTTTTTTTTCCACTGCAACAGTCTTGATTTTGACAAAATTTGTTGGACACGTCTTGTGGTCACAGGTAATTCAGTCTTTATTTGTCTTGCTGTTCGTACTCTGGACGATACCAAATGCAAAGTGGAAGAATGTTGCCTTCTGGTTATTTTTTTATTTCTGCCTTAGGGTGATTTTTGTTGCAATTTTCACCTAAGTTTATAAAATTAATCATTGCATGATGAGACGTTTTGATTTTCTTTGCAATTTGTCGATTGGACAAACAAATAAAGATATTATGTTCAACAATTTTAATTTTTCTTCCTCATTGAACATCTTTCCACATGGCATTGTAATAATTAAACAACAAATGTTAATTTAAAATACACAAAACTTTCATATAGAACAAACAAATTAAAAAATCTTACTCAAACTCCAATCAACTCTTGTTATAACTATAAGTGATCAAAAACAAACTGATGGAAGTTTTGTGTGTATATATACCGGATTTTAAAAACATTCTAGAAAATTTAGTTTCAATTGTTTCAGAAACACATAAAGCTCTCATAAACGCATTTGTTTGCAATACGTCTATAAAATATAATTTTTGCGATTAATTTTATAAATAACTTCTGCATAAAACCTGCAACAACTAAATAATACTCTAGAAATTTTGCTAAATGTACATACATAGATACATGCATACATACATACATACATACATACATACATACATACATACATACATACATACATACATACATACATACATACATACATACATACATACATACATACATACATACATACATACATACATACATAAACATACTGTTTTTTTCGAAACTGAAAAAATTTTAGTTAATTCTGGTCTTAATTAATTGAGTGACTTAAGGTCAAAAAAAATTACAAACATCAATTATATTATTTATTTAAAAACCCCCACATAACCTTGTATCTAACAGACTACCAATATACTATTAAAAATAATTATAATATATAACTTTATATAAGGAAATATAGAACTAAATCATTTTTTTTTTACTCTTTTTATGGCATGTTTAAAAGTTAACAGTATACAACTTCAAAAAGATTTTTTTACAAATAACTTTTACAGAACTCACAAAATAACATCTACATCATCATTACCAATAATTTTTTCAAAATCACTTGAAGAAATTTTTTTATTTTTCAATTTCTTTAACAATCTTCCCTCTCTCATTAATTCCTTCACATCATCATCTTCCATTTCTTCATTTAACTTTCTTTTCCTTTCAAACTTTTCTTTACGTTCTTTTTTCTTTTGGAATTTCTCTTTTTGTTTTGACCACTTCACAGTTTTCTTGTGAAGTACTTTTACAACATCTTTATTAGCTTCTAGTTTAATTTTTCTTTGGTTTTCTTTTACTTTATCTTTATAAGGGATATCAGCATAATTTATGTCCAATGCTTGAAACCCTTTTAAATCCTTATTTTTTAGTTCTGGCATTTTGGGTAAATGAAGTAATCCAAACGATACAGCTAATGAGCATACGTCGAGTTCTTCAAATTGAAATATTAAACTACATTCGTGTTTGTGATAGCATTGAATAAATGAAACAAAGGCTCGAAGTCCTTTCTCATAAAGTTCTCTATCCTTTGAAACAATTTTCCTTATTTTAGAAGTAATGTCTGGAATTTCCTCGATTACTCCACTATAATCAAGAAGAGTGCATTTTTGATTAATTCTAACAAAATCAATGTATGAACTTTCATTTGGTAAGAGAAAGATCAAAGCATTACCTTCATTACCCATTCTTGCCGTTCGTCCACAACGATGTACAAAAGCTTCTACATTACTTGGAGGATCAAATTGAACTACCCAATTTACCTGTGGTATATCAATACCTCTTGCCATCACGTCAGTACACATTAAAATACCTGATTTCATGCTGTGAAACTTTTCAAAAACTTTATTTCTTTTTTTCTTCATATGACCGTGCAGCGATACTACTGGAATTGTTTTTAATATTATAGTGAGTAGTTTTGAAAAATAGTCTACTGAGGCACAAGTATTAAAAAATACAATGTTTTTTTCGTCTCTGTGTAGACGTAGAAAAGAAACCAGATTTCTAAGCTTTTCCTTTCCTTCTGATACAAAATAATAATTTTGCAGAGAGTCTGGAGTGCGACTAATTTCAGTCACTAACTTTTTTTTCTCTCTAACCAAAACTTGCACAGGATTTCGAAGCCCAGCTCTTATGAAGGATTCAACTTTATCTGTTTGAGTAGCAGAAAAAAGACTTGTTCGCCTCTGTTTAGGTAAATAATGGAATATCTGTGTTAAAGCTTGCTCAAAGTTAGAATTAGATAATAAACGGTCAGCTTCATCTAGAATTAAAATTTCTAAAGATTTTACTGCCACCTTCAAGTCAATATCTTTACTTTCAAAGAGTGCTAAAAGTTTTCCTGGCGTTGCAATGACAATATTTCCACCATTATCATTGAATGAAGAAATATTTTCTTTAATACTTTTTCCTCCAACAAAAAGGATTTGAGATAAATTAGATTCCTGAGTGAAATGTTCAAGAACTTTACTAATCTGTTGAGCCAGCTCTCTTGTTGGCGTGAGTACAATAGCACCAATATCAAAAGTCTTTAACTTTTCTTCTCTGTTGATTAATATCTCGACAACTTAAAAATAATTAAAAAACTTTTTTACAAAACAAAAGTAATAACTTGAATTATTTATACAAACTTTAAACATTAATTATACAAACTTTAAACATTAATTATACAAAAAAAAAAAAGATAATAAGAGTGATAATAAGAACTACCGAAATAAAACTACTCTTACTTGGTACAAGGAAAGCAACAGTCTTGCCTGACCCTGTAACTGCTTCAGCTACAACATCTTTCCTTGAAAGTATTAATGGAATGCACATAGCTTGAACAGGAGTAGGCTTAGTGAAACCAAGTTTTTGAATTGCTTTTAGAGTTGATTCATTTAAAGGATGAGAAACATTTAATGTTTCAAAGCTGTCAACCATGACATAAACTAAGATTGTTAATTAAACAAATAATAACAATAATATAAACAAATAATATCATAAAAAAATATAATGAAAAACAGTATAAATATTAACTTGAAGACAGTAACTTTTTAACTTGAAAAGATTTTACATAGTTATTAGGTAATATATATTATTATATATTGCTTCTTTTAAAACATAAAAATTAAAGCATACAAAATGTACCATTATATCTTATTTATACATAGAACATATATTTTTATGAAGCATTTTTTTTTATTGAAAAAATATATATATAAATATACATACATATACAAAAAAAAAATAATACTTGGCTGATTTTTATGACTTGATTTTATTTAAAAATTAAGTACCACAAGAAATATCATTGAAACAATTTTTTTATAATAAATGTTTCAAATTTAAAAATAAAAATGAAACAAACTGACATCAATAAAATCAAGAAAAAGAAATAGAAGAGAACAATACAAACATTAAATTAAATAATTTTTAGAGAATAGCATATTAAAAATTTGAGATTGCAGCTCACAGTTTATTTAATTACAGCTTTTGATTTAAAAATATTTTAAAATTTTTTTTATTTAATGTTTCCAAAACTAAAAAATATTAAAATGATAAAGGAAATAAAAATGATACAGGAAATCTAATTTGCACCATGCAACATTTTGTATCAATATTCATAAAGTTTTTTTTATTTTTTTAATATTGTTTTAATTACCTCCATATATTCATAAACAAACAAACTTCTGAACTTTTTACAAATACATATTAATTCAACTGCAGCTTAATTTAACAGTTATTTTTCAAAAATTCAAAAACACTAAAATATCAAACTACATTTAAAAAAAGTAGTACAACAGAAAAAATGCAAAAAAAAAGTTCTTAAGCCTTCAGAAATGCAATCGTGATATTTTCATATGTCAATATTCGCAGAAAACGTTTCTAGCAGTTGAAAAGATTGTACAAAACGCAGCAGCAAGCTTTTTTTTTACCAATCTATGAACCAGCAGCAGGTGAATCTTGAGGCTTCATTGTACCTGGTAATTCATTTGGTAATGATACAGGGATGATATTTAATTCTTCAAAATCCATTTCTAAAGTTTAAAATTAAACATTAGTTAAAAAATAATTATGCATCGATTAATACAGATTTAAATCTGCATGTTACACCATTAATATTATATTATATATATTATATTATTAATATATTAATATTGTAATATTAGAATAATAAGAGTGCACAACCTTCTTAAAAGAACTGAGCAATAATAAATTAGTAGAAAATCACTTATCAAATTTTTTCCATTTTACACAATGTTTTATCAATAAAGACTCATCAGAAATGAATGATCGAATTAATAAACTTTAATTTGTACCAAAAATTAAATCACAGGAAGCCATAAATGTCTTAATTACTGTAACATTTTACCCATTTGTGAAATATGTTGACACTACAAAAAAAATGACTTTTTTTAGAATTGTTTACTTCTGTTGATTTTTTAATATTTCAATGGGAGGTTTACTGTTATTATTTTTTGAGTTCACTTATTTTCATACTTTTTTTGAGAAAAATTTATTTTCATGCCTGCATTTACGAATCAATTCCAATTTTTTTATTTCATTAAAATTATTGGTTTGCATGTGTAATTATTTCAAACTTTTCTTGTAGACATAGTATGCATTTTTTGGAAATATATGCAGGTGCTGTTTTAAGGATAGACATTAAATTTAAAATCATCAATTTTTTTATCTTTCAATTCCCATATGTTTTTCGACAGCACAGTGTCTTTTGAATACTTTTTATTTTTTAAAAATTGCTCATGATTGGAAAAAGATTTTTTCTATTTGCCTTCCGTTGAGCCAATATATTGTTTATCAGGTTTGTCCTTAGAAGAAACAACACATTTATATAACATGTTTTTTTATAAACAGTTTTCACTCATTAGACAGTTTTTTTTTTGTTTTTTTTTTTACAATTGCAATTTTCTGTTGTTCTTTCATTTAGGATGTATAAATGCATTTATGCTTAATTAATAATTTTATAAAAGTTTAATTATAAAATACAAAAATTTTAAACAGTCAAAAGTCAGTTAAAAGTTAAATGTACAAAAATATTAAACATCTAAAATTACTTTGATGTTATTAAACCTTCTATTTTAATCAAACCTCTTTTTTAAATTAAACCTCTTTTTTTAATTCTCCATTTTTAATCTGCGCACATGAACTGTTTTTTTAATTATTTTAACTTTTAATTGGAGCATTACCTATTTACCATAAAACATATTTTATGTGAGTTTTTTGTTTTAAAAAAACAATGATTTGATTTAAAATTAAATTGAAACTTTTATAAAAAAAGTAAAATAAAAAATTTATTTAAAAAGTTCAGTGAGTGTTATGAAACAAAAATTAAAACACTAAAAAAAAAAACTAAAGTATGACTTTTTTTTCAGTATTTTAATTTTTGTTTCATAATAAAAAGCGATTACTCAAAAGTGCATTACATAAAAGAATCAACAAACGAAAATCTCTGTTGAATGAATTAAATTATTTAAAATCTCAAGTAAGAAATAACTGCTCAACTTTACAGTAGCATTTCTTGTTAAAAATAATTAATAATAACATTAGGAAAAAATAACTTTTATTATAAAGATTCACAAGAAGAAATTATGCTCCCTCACAAAATTTACTAGCCTTCCTTCTAAACACCAACACTTTGTTCATAATATGTCATCATACACTTTACAACAGGATTTATTGAACAACGGTCTTAATTTTGCTCTACCGCCTGTGATTATAAAAAAACCCGGATGGTTTCGCTCAGTTTGATAGCATTTCACAATTTCTCAATACTCAATTTAGAAACAGCGATATGGAATCTCAACTTAAAAGTTAACTTTCTCATTTAGCGAACAATTATGTATATAAATACACACCATCTGAATCATAATCACAAAACCAGACAAAGGTAATGGTATAATCTTTTTTAATAAAGTTGACTATATTATATCTTTAACTTATATTATAAGTGATAAAACCAAATTTAAGATGACAAAGTTAAAAGACGCTCCAACTATTAAAAGAGAACTATCTTTACCTGGGTATCTTAGAAAACTTAAAAAACATAACTGTTTTGAAAATAATGTTTACAACAAAATTTATCCTGCTGGTTCACAAACAGCAAGAATTTATGCTTTACCTAAGATGCACAAACTCAGTAAAGATTCTTCTCTACCACCTTTTAAAACAATTATTTCAACAATCGGGACATATAATTATAAACTTGCCAAACATCTTTTTGATTTGCTGTCTTCTTATATACCTATATCTTTTTCTTTTGTAGAGGAATTAAAACAAGTTAATATAACTAACAAAAGTATAATTTCTTATGATGTTGAAAGCTTATTTACTAATACTTCACTTAAAGAAACTATAAATAAAGCTACTGATTCATACTTTAAACATGAAACGTGTTTAAAATATTTTTCTAAAGCTCAATTCAAAATATTACTTCAAATCTCAACACTCAGTCCTCATTTCTTATTTAACTGGAAATATTAGTATCAATTGGATGGAGTTGCCATGGGTTCTCTTTTACCGCCAATTTAAGCTATTATTTTTATTGGGTTTCACAAACAAAAATGGGCTCTTCCTCCATTTTTTATAAACGTTATGTGGAAAACATTATTGCTATTTTTAATTCAGAGTCTAAAGCTCAGGAATTTTTTAAACTAAGTTGTTTAAAAAATTCCTGAGCTTTAAACTAAAACCCAAACTTAAATGAAAACCTAAAATTTACTATGGAAAAAGAACAAGTTAATCAAATTGCATTTTTGGATGTTCTTAACAATAAGTCTGTATTGCTTTCCATATCAGTTTATCACAAAAAAGCATATGTGGGTCTTTTACAAACATTTTCCAGTTTTGTTCCATATTGTTATAAAATTAGTCTCATACATTATTTGATTGATAGAACATATAAAGTCAACAACACCTGGCTTGGATTTGATAAGGAGATAAGAAATCAATCTATTGTTTTAAAAAATAACCAATATCCACCCAAAATAATTGTCAATGAAATTAAATTATTTGTTGATATAAAGTTAAATCCTTCTGTTATAAATAATATTGATAATCCTTATATAAGATATTATAATCTTCCATTTATAGGATTTTACTGGAATTTTACAAAATCTAAAATTAATAAAATCATTAAAATATATTGTTAAGAGATCATAATTAATTTATTTACACTACTAACAAATTACAAAATAGTTTATGTATAAAAGATCCACTTCCTAAGCTGCTCAAACTTAATTTTGTTTACAAATTTTCTTGCGCTGAATGTAATGCCAGTTATATTGAAGAAACCTCCATACACTTAACAACAAGGATTCATGAGCACCTTAAAAGTGACAAACAATTTAATGTTTACAAGCATTTAATTTCATCTGTTAATTGTAAAAATCTAAGTAATTATAATTCTTTTTAAATTTTGGATACCTATTACCCAGTCTCCTAACAAAAACAAATTGAAAATGAAAGAAGCACTCCATATTAAATGGGAAAACCAATCTTTAAATAAAGAAACTGTTAATTATAGGGTAAAAATATATGAAATCATCCAAAAAATAATAATTTTCGACACCCTTACGTCTCAGAATTTGTTTATTTTTTACACCTCTTGCAGTCCATATCAAAAAAATAATAACTACAAAAATTTTAGTTGAAAATACCAATGGGTTCCAGAGATATCGTCAGTTGAAATAATGCTGACTCAGCATTTTAGTGATTTTCTGAAGCGACTACAAAGCAACTTTGACATACAGTATCTTCATTATGGCTTGGGGAAATTTCCTAAAATTTGGTACTCTAATAGATTTTAACTTGAGGAATCCAAAAATAGCACTCTTAAGACTTGATTATCTCAAGAAATGCCTTATTTATCTAATTTTGTTCAAAATTATTGACTTGTAAGTTAGTGATTTTTGGAGGTAAAATAAAGACTGTGGCCCAAAATCTCGAGGAAAAATTTTATTTGTATATCATTATTTCATCTTAGGTCTACTGAAAAAAATTAGATTCATCAATTGTCTCTCTAATACATGATCAAAGTTTGCATTTAAAAATGGTGTCTTTTTAGAAAAATTTAAATTTTGTAACAAAAGCAATTAAAATATTTTTTTAAACATTTATTTGAATAAAACACCAAATAGTGTTATTTATTGACTAGTTTAAATTTAAATAAACATTTAAAGTCATGGGCCAAGGGAGATGCCCTCCCTACCCACGGGAGGCTCCTCCACCCCCTCCCCCAATCTCCCTAGATTTTTTTTTTTTTTTTACATAAAATGAATAAATAATAGTTGATTGTTAAAATACATTTTAAAAACTTATTTTTTCAGTTTAAGTTTGAGAAACGATTTATTTGCGTTACTTCAAATCGATAAATACTTACCTCTTATTTCAAAGATCTTTTTACAATTTTAAGTCATAAATTTCAAAAACAAATGTTTTAAAATGTTTTTAAAACATTGACAATAAATATCTTTATGTAGTTTTAGACTAATATAGTCATTGACATAATAAGATGGGAGTGATTTGTGATTTATTTAAACCCCCCACCCCTCCTTCTCAGCCTACAATCCAAGGATTTGAAAAAAATAAAAGACATTTAAAATGCAAATTAGGTAAATAAAATAAAAACAAAATTATTTTAAGCATAATAAATTTTTTTTTGTAACCAACAGTTTATATTCTCCAAATCTAAATCAGTTATGTTGTATGTACGACCTAATATTGTTGTGGGTGTAGAAATTAGGCATATAACTTCAGAATTGAACACCCAACACTCATCAGTTCTTATTGGCCAAAAGAAGTTTTTACCTGGTCCATGTGGATGCATGAATCTGACTTTTATATCAAGCTCACTTACATCTTCAGCAATCCCTACCCACCAAAATCCATCATAAAAACATGCAATATAATCCATTTTTTTAATATTTAATGAAATATCTACATAATGTTTGCTTTTTGGAATGATATCAAATATTTTAGTGCATGCATCAATACTTATTTTTTTATAACTTATAGTGTT